GAGCTTCTCCAAAGCAAAAATCAAAGCGATTCTCATGTAATTCACAAGGATTACATTCTGAACAAATGAATTTTATTTACAATTATTCATTAATTTTTCCCTTAATTTAGCTTCTGCGCCTGGAAACAGCCTTCTGGTTTACAGCCCAATTACGGTATTTCATATTTTTTCCCTATTAAGCACATATTTCGAGGGTAAGCTGAAAAAATAGTAGGTTTCAGTCCATGAAAGGCTAACAGAAGGTTTCTTCACTGCAACCTACATCTCTCGCTGATCGCGTCGGCCTATACAGCACAGAAAAAGTATGCGTAAACAGTGATAAAAGAACTTGTCCGCCAAGAAGAATGGAAAAGAGTCTCAAGCAGATTGAAAATTGGTCGAGGATTCGTCGGCGACTCGTCGAGGACTTTTGTTACCTGATCAGTCACGCTCTCCCGCGCGGACATTCACTCTCGCCATGCGCGAGCCGTCTGTGCTCTCCGCGCCTATTCACTCTCGACACTATTCTCACACAGCACAGAATTGTGGTCGAGGACTCACTCGACCGTTGTTCACCCTGGTCACAAGTCATGGATGGAGACTTTCACTTCGACAAGATTCAACAGAGAAGCTCCATCTAGCTACCCCGTCGCGGGATGCGATTTTGATGTTTTTGGCTCCTTTCAAAACCAGTTACTTTTTCTGACTGGCGAATTCTCTTTGGGACCAGGTCTTTTCCCTACAAAAGCTACCCAAACACAGCTGCAACACTACTGAACTCACTACCAACAACTCTAATACAAACCTCTAGAAATGAATGCTCCTCACACTACTAATACATGAAATCACACACCCTGGATTCAATTTCAGCGAATCATCCAACCCGATTTGGTTAGTATTTGATTAATATGGTAAGTATCAACTATGAAAATAAGATACAAACTCAACTGCTAGCAACAAAATTTCACTAATAAAATAGCGCTCATAAAATTTAAACAGATGCAGGATATAAATGGGCCAAACTCAAGCATTCGTTATAAAATACCACTCGAGAACGAGGGAACGCCACCGTAGGCACTGCCACATTGGCCAGAATCATAATCGCCGTAACTCTTCATGTCGACATTATTTGACGTCACTTCGTTTACCTGAAACCTTTCACAATTACCCTCCCAACATCTAGAAATCGTGGAATTTGGCCATCAGATTTATCATTAGCCGTAAATTTTTGCAGTTTGAAAATCCAAAAGATCGTGCGGTGAATTCACAATGAGTCAAATGCGTGAGTGAACCTAAAGGCACATTCTGCTATGAATAAATGTGGGTATGCATCCGAATATATAATAGATACGACGTTTTGGCTCGAACTAGTAATAAAAGAGAAGCAAACAAAACTGATAAGAACTCTCAAAATCACTCTGCACTGATCGTATGGGCGGTACAAGCCTAACCAATGGTACTCGTTCCTTTTGGGCGGTTTTGTTATCGATACGGTAGAATACGGTAAGAAACTAGAAGAAAGCTCACCAATGAAATAGGCTCGCGACGCCTGCGCGAGCAGCGCAATGTGATTCAGAGGGATTGTTTTTGTTTACACTCTTCATAACTGACCTACTTGAAACATCATATCTACCCTTATTTCGGACCCAACGGCACAAATTATTCAATCGGAGAGCGCGCGCTAAAATGAGGGTTCGCCCTACTTAAACAACCTTTTCTTAGCTTGATTGCCAAAACCCAACAACAAAAGAAACTCTGCATGAACTGGCCTGCAGTAGTTACTACCTGAGTGGGATCTTCATCACGGATCTGTTGTTTCGTTGCCGAATGCAACTCGTACGGAAGTCCATTAAGATTTGCCAAATTAAAAAGCGCAAGGAATTGAACGTTGTCGTCTTCTTGTTGTGACAAATGCTAAATAATGGTAAGAAATACTATATGATAAAACAAGAACCTTCTGACGATTCCACCATGTTTCTACGAAGAAACGTTCACAAAAAAAAAGATAAGAAAAGATGAAAAAAGAAAGGACTGAAAAAAAGGAAGCTGTAAAAGCTCACTTCAATGCTTGGCAATAAAAGTAGCAATTTTGAGATTCGTTGAGCAACTTCGATAGCCGAATAAGACGGGTACTCGTGTTGAATGTGATGATAGAGAGCGTCTATGTACTTGTTGCGAACTTTGATCACATGAAGTTTGCCTTCTTCTGACAGGCGATGATCTATAACGACCAGAATTCAAATCCGAAGAGCTCACACGATGCTCGATTTTTTAAGGGTGGCCCAGTCGTCTACATATTGCAGTCCGAACGTCACCGTTTGTGAGCAGTAATGGTAACAATGACTGAGAAACAGAAATGGTAATTGGTAGAGATCACTGGCGGAACCAGAGTGAACAACGCGTTGAAGGGGAAATTTCGCGAAATACGACCCCTCTCCCTCCGGTACGCCCCGATGGTCATCGGGGATCGTTGATCCAACCAGTCCGACTCTGCTTCTAAATCCTTCCAAAAGGAGCTGTTCATGCTGTGGGAGGGGGCGTGTATATGTGACCGCTGAAATAGTAAATTTCACCATGATTTACGTTGTCATTTCTTTTTCCAATCCCCACACTTCCATCTATGACCCGCAGAATCCCCAAATACTCCCAGCCCACTTCTACCCAGACACATGCGACCCTTGCGAAGAGCCCTCGACTAGGGTTTTTGGTGGAGGCGAGAGGAGCTGCTTGTCGAGCACGAAGTCCGGCATTCAAATCTCTGTTCTAGTCATACCTAGACCAACGTAGCCTTCCCTCCAGGGTCGGATAATTGTTGCATTTATAAACTATGTTTGGGATGCTTTGAATTGCTAATCAATTGGCTCTCGCAGCTCACTGTATGACTCACATCCCATTTCAATGTTGCTACGATTCTGAACGGAGTTTGAGTTGCGGTGTACCCCTTACAACCCTCAAAAGGTACTAATGGAGAGAAGATTAATCAGTGTCGTATTTCCTAACCATTTATCATGATGAGCGCCGCTGTGAATTCCGCTAATCCTGCCACCTTCAATCTCGATCCGTTTACGATAAATCTCGTACCTAACGTTTTCTATGTTCTAAGAAAGAACAAATGGTTCAAAAACTTACCGACACGAAACAGAATCAGCACTTTCAGCAGACAAAACTCTCCCTCGTTCATGTTCATCTCACGCATAGGGAAAACCAAGTCCTGCATAAGATGCTCGGATAGAATCGAAAAATAATGGTTGCACCTGGAACAAAATAAAATCATAATAGCAGTAGCAAAACGTTCTCTCTTTTCTTTTTCTGTGGTGAGCCTTCACGAAAGATACTTTTCTGAATACTTGTTCGCATATTCAGTCGAAAAAAGAGCAAATTCACAATCTCTCTGCAACCGCACGCTTAATAATCTTGTAGTACAAGACCTAGAGAGACCTACCCAGGGTCCAGAGTTTTCTGTAAGATCTTTGTCCCGTGGGTACCAGCTGCCATTCACCAGTGCCACACCGTCACATCCACTTTTGAACGTCTGCAATGCTGGGAATAGTATTATCCTCTGTTTTCATAAAGAAAAGAAAAATAGGATCTTGATAAATTCCACTGAAAATAGACAAATCGAGTGACTGATAATTTTTTCGTTGACATCGATGACTATGAACTTAAAGGTTCATTCCGTGGCCATCAAATGGTGGT